TAAGATACGTAGATGATATTCTTTTGGCGTCGCAGGATACGGAAGACTCTTTCCGGGTATTAGAACACCATTTATCAAAAATGTATGCCACTATACACTTCGTGTGGGAGAAGGAAGTTGGGAGAAAAATTGCCTTCTTGGACTTGATCATGGTCCTTATATCACGCCTCAAAGGCACCGTCTGTAACTGCTGTCATAGCCGAGGCTCCATGAGTTGGTATCCCATCTTCATAAAGAAATCCCGCTGAGACATCGTTTTTTTTGGTTTCTAATGTTACTATAAACATAGCTAGCATAGCTGTTGATTGCCAATAGGTTTAGCATGTTATAAAATACACATAGTGCCACCTTTTGATTTTTATGTTATTACTCATATTTGAACACATTTGATCTACTGTGTCTACCGCACACTTTGTACTATTATAAAAGTTTATTATTTGTGGTTTTCCTATATTTTCATTGATGTTAAGTTGATCATGAATAGTCAACAAAACAAACAACTTTATTTGACTTGGCTTTGTACGAAACTAATGTCTTATTGCAATCGTAACAAATTATTTAAGTGCATGATTTAGAATTTTTTAATTTTTCAGGAATTTCTCTTGTTACTTCTAAGAGTACTTGCATGTATCCAAACAAGAAAACTCCAGAAAATACTAAAGAATGCTTTACACTGTACCACTGTTCCACAGAAAATTGTTCCTTTGCCTTGATACTGTAATCACTTATTACCATCATCATTAAGTTGTACTAATAAAGTTTTACTCATAATTAATGCTTGGCTGTTAGCAGATTACTTTATGTTTCACTCAATTATTGGGTTGAACCAAAAGTTCATTTGGTTTTTAAAAAGAAATAAAATATACAATTTTAAAATAAATAAAAACATTTAATCCACAATGTATTCACCCTTCTGTTTGATAACCATACACCACCTGATGGGTAGTTTCATAATTCCATTTGTGTAGAATTGAGCAGGTTTCTGATTGAAGAAATTATCAATGTGATTTTTGATACCTTCTAAAGATTGAAATTCTATGCCATTTAAATTATTCTGCAATGAATGAAAAAGATGATAGTCTGAGGGAGCAATATCTGGAGAATATGCAGGGTGACTCAAAACATCCCAGTTAAAGTTTATAAGTTTTTGGCATATGTTTAACGATATGTGCAGTCTTGCATTATCATGATTATTATGATGGAATACCACTCCCTGCCAATTTGTAAGTTCCAGATGTGTTTGATGCACTGCAGCCTTTAGTTCATTCAGTTGGAGACAATATTTATTGGAATTAATTGTTTGGTTGTTGGATAAAAGCTCGTAATAACGAACCCCTTTCTAATCCCACCAAACTGAAATAAAATCATTGTTTTTCAAACTGTGAATGCAAGAAATTGAGAGAAAGGTGTAAATTTTCATGTTTATAAGATAGCTCCAGATTTAAAATTTAATGCACATTTTTAGAAAAAAGAAAAAAAATGCAGAAATTAAACATATAAGCATAGCTTTTGATGTAATGTTGACAGTTTCACAATAAAAACTGGTGTCTGAGATGCAACGTAACTCAACTTGTTTTGTTTTTTTAAATGACCTCTAGAGAGGGTTGTGTAAGCTTACATAAACCAGCAAGCCAGTTTTTACCATATAGAAATGTCTGAATTTCTCCACAACACCGTATTAACGCAAAATTAATCAACCACAAACCTTTACGGTGCGAAATTAAATACAAAAATCCTGTTAAAAAATTCCCACAAACGTTTTCGAACCCACTTAGGTTCTTCTTCAGGTGAAAAAACTTAAATACTCAAAAAACATTCGATGGAATCCAAATTTGAATGAGAAACGATCAACTAATACGATGAATTCTGCCGCTGTCGTCATCAATACGCATGCGTATTTTACCGATGTAAACATTTTTCTTTTTATAGAATATTTTCTCTGTCCTGTATAAGCATTTCCCACGCTAGGGATAGAGATAATTCCTCCTTATTATTAATGCACCTGTTGTTTCGGGCCGCTTTATATATAGACATTGCCTCTATCCATCTTAGATGTTCCGTATGTGGTGTGGTGTGAATGATTCTAGCCTCACTAAACTTAGGTTCGATATCTGGATCTGTGGCATAACGAGCGAGTGCCGTGGTTATTCTTCCATGCTGTATGTCTGCGATGTGTTCTTTTAATCTGACAGATAACGAGCGTTTAGTGGATCCAATGTATAATAGCTGTTCATCACATCGATGATCCTTCAAAGGGATGGTATATACTCCCGACAGCATGTGATAGTTGGGAGGATCTTTAGCATTACGGAGTATATTAAAGACCGTGGGACATCTCCTGTATGTGATATCGATGTTTTTCTTTTTTGCAATCTCTGAGTAGAGTTTCTGTAACCACGGGTTGTAAGTGACCGGAACTCTGTTTTTATGCTCCGGTCTGTCATCTTCCTGCCCTGCGTCTTTTGCGGATACTTGCGGATGGCGTAGTTTCTTGGATAATTTATTCATAAGGTTGTAATAACCATGGCGTTTCGCTATGTTAGCTATATTTCTATGTTCAGATTCTAGAGCAGCCTTGGTGGATGAATGAGTATAGGCTCGCCTAATTAATGTGTTGAATGCCGCTATTTTATAATGGTAAGGATCACACGATGTTGTTGGTATGTATAGCGGTTCTGCAATAGGTTTCCTGTATACCTCTGTTTGGATCCTCTTTCCATCCACCTTAATGCTAATATCCAGAAAATGCACTTGCCTGTCGTGTGCTTGGTCCAGCTCTAGAGTTAAGCCGTATCTGTTGTCATTAACCAATTCCAAGAAAGCTGATATGTCAGGCTTAACCTTCCATAGAATGAGGATATCATCAATATACCTCCTATATAATAAGATGTTAGAGATATGGAGTGGGAGGACTCTTTCTTCTAATTGACGTATCACCAACTCACATAAGTCACCTGCAATGGGGCTCCCCATCGGTACGCCCCTGGATTGCATGTACGTTTTGCCTCTGAATTGAAATAACGAGTTGTAACATAACAGGTGCGTCATCTCTAAGATTTGTTGTTGTAGGTTAGCGTCATTAACTATTNCAATGGGGCTCCCCATCGGTACGCCCCTGGATTGCATGTACGTTTTGCCTCTGAATTGAAATAACGAGTTGTAACATAACAGGTGCGTCATCTCTAAGATTTGTTGTTGTAGGTTAGCGTCATTAACTATTCTGAATAAGAGATCCCTCAGGGCACAAAATGTTGGAGGAAGAAGAATTGATGGGTATAAGGACTTAAAATCGAATACAGTAAGAAATTCCCTTTAAGAAAATCCCATTGAAGGATCATCGATGTGATGAACAGCTATTATACATTGGATCCACTAAACGCTCGTTATCTGTCAGATTAAAAGAACACATCACAGACATACAGCATGGAAGAATAACCACGGCACTCGCTCGTTATGCCACAGATCCAGATATCGAACCTAAGTTTAGTGAGGCTAGAATCATTCACACCACACCACATACGGAACATCTAAGATGGATAGAGGCAATGTCTATATATAAAGCGGCCCGAAACAACAGGTGCATTAATAATAAGGAGGAATTATCTCTATCCCTAGCGTGGGAAATGCTTATACAGGACAGAGAAAATATTCTATAAAAAGAAAAATGTTTACATCGGTAAAATACGCATGCGTATTGATGACGACAGCGGCAGAATTCATCGTATTAGTTGATCGTTTCTCATTCAAATTTGGATTCCATCGAATGTTTTTTGAGTATTTAAGTTTTTTCACCTGAAGAAGAACCTAAGTGGGTTCGAAAACGTTTGTGGGAACTTTTTAACCGGATTTTTGTATTTAATTTCGCACCGTAAAGGTTTGTGGTTGATTAATTTTAGAAATGTCTGATTTCATGGTCTCTCCAAATCAACTGACATGTGAAGCAATCTGCGAAAATACAATATACTTTTAATAACACTAGATTATTTATTTCATTAATATGTACACTTCCTTTTGACATTTAATAGTATAATAAAATGCTTTATCAATACGCCAATAATTCGCAAATTTTATAAATAACTGTTATATCATTGAATGATTGGATTCTCATTTTATTTGTTTACTAGCTGTGGCTCAAAATGTATCTATTATAAATGTATCTATCTAATACTCCCTGTGGGAGGGAACTTCAAAAAATCCCTTCTTAGTGTACATTCTCTTGTCGTACCCTATTAAAATGCAAAAATTTGCATCTAAAATAGTATAATAGAAACCAAGTTCTTCACGATAAGCCTTAATTTTATCCCTCTCTCCCCTATGGGGGGAAATTTCCACATCACATCGATATAATATACAAGTTCGGACACGTGCACTGCGTATCTTGCCAACTACGCTACTATACCGCGCGGTTACTTATTCATACACATATGCGTCTTGCCCCTCACCACCCAGTGACACCAAAAATATAACACTAACCTAGATGATATCTTTTAATTTATATGAATGTTTTAACAGAATAATATACAGCCTATGTCCACCCTGAAGGGCCATTCTAAATATTGGTGAAAGAATTTTTGAAATTGGATGAGTAGTTTCAGAGATTATCTCCTATTTCCAAACTTCAAACTTTACCGTTTTATAATATTAGTATAGATTAGTGTGCATTTTGAGTTCACTAAATCTATACTGAACACTTAATAAACAACATATTTGCCGCAAGCTTGCCTCCACCCAGAGAAAGTTCAGCATCAGGATATGCAAAGCCTACAGAACGACTCCTTCCAATGCACTTCTGTTCATGGCGGATCTTCCCCCTATTCACATCCAGGCAAAGCTTTTAAATTGGTATTGGCACCTATCCTTGGCAAGACAGCAGTGCTACACATAACTACATCTTTGCTGACCTCATTAAAGACAATACTTCGTTGGTCTGCAGCATACATAAATATGGCATGGACAGGACTCTAAAGAGGGACGAGCACAGCCACCATCCTGCTGACAATCTAGGCTACACCATCAACTGGGACTTCAACAACATTCAAAATCTTAAGGCTAACTGGACCGTCTACACTGATGGTTCCAGCAACGACACAGGCAATGGTTCTGGCTTCGTCATTATCAATTCTAAAGGAAGGACTTGCTACCAAACTTACCATAAACTGGCCCCCCCCACTGCTCCATCTCCCAAGCAGAGATGTGGGCCATCCTGAAAGCCATCATTCATATCACCAATAACATTAGTCAATTCAAAGGAAAAATCCTTATTTTAACAAACAGCAGAATAAGGCTCCACACCCTCCACGGGAACAACTGCCTTACTAGGCTTGCTGCCAGAATGTTGTCAGCAGCAAAAGACCTTGGATCAAGTCGCACTCTACAATTTAGTTGGATCTCTTCGCACAGTGGCATCAAAGGTAACGAAACAGCGGACAAGTTGGCTAAAATGGGAAGCAGAACTTCGTGTCATCACTCATTCGACAGAATTCCTCAATCCACATTGAAGAATCGCCTTCGGGCCTTTGCTGAGGCCCTTTGGCAGCAGGAGTGGTCTTCTGCCAACACGGGAAGAAACTTAAATTTATCCCCAATATCCTCACTAGGAAGAACGCCAAGCATTACACTCCAGAAGCGGACACATCTCAAATCCTCACCAGTCATGGTAACTTTCCCGCCTACCTTCACCGGTTCGGGAAAGCTAACAACAGCAACCGTACGTGCTCAACCCAATCCATCGAAAATGCGTTACACCTAGCATTCCATTGCCCCAACTTCGACCACCTACGGCTAGGACTAATCACCAGCTGCCTAAAGAAAGGGCTAACTTGGCCACCCGAACCAGCAGACTTATTCCAGGATAGAGAACTCTGGAAGGATTTCATCAACTTCCTCAGCAGGACCAGAGCCCTCATCTCCTACCCACAACAGAATGTCAGCGTACCTGAAGAAGAACACCCCAGTGGATGAACAGAATCCAGTGTGACTGATCAAATCTTGTTGCTGACTGATACTCTTGCTTAAATGTTGTCATATATGGTTATCCATATGCAAGAGTAATTAGACCAGTCTCCTTGCCTTATTCATAGCCACACTCTGTTATTTTTAATTTAAATCATTTTGCTTTTACTCTGTTACAATTCGAATACTTCTCATTACGCGAACCTGTGTTCGGTTTCCTCCCAAATTTATGTACCTTAAATCCCTTTCTCTGCTTAAATCATTTTGTAACTGCGATCACTTTATATACTATTTGCACTGGTTTGTCTCTAAACACAGTTCTTTATTTCGGACTTAGTTTGTACCGCGTGGACTGTCTACAGTAGTACATTTATGTGACCACAATCTTCCCTGTTATGTACCAGACTATGTTATAGACAACCTATAACCCTTTTAAAAACCGCTTTATCATTGTCTCTCCGGACTCTTGTTGTTACCAAGCATATGAGGTTTAATGATATTTCTGTATATAGCAGCCTTTTGCAACCTCATGTCCATGGTAAACGAACTGATGGGATTTTATTGTTTTCAACACTGCGTTGTTGACATTGTCACTTAATATGTATTTAATTAACATTAGAGATGCGGTTGCTCTGAAGCCCACCCACCTTCTTCTTAACCTATCATACTTTTTTACTTTATTCCACCTCTTCTATCTACTATCCTCTACAATACTCTCAGCATCTTCATCTTCAACAACGTAATCCTTTACTTCATCACTTCTTTATTCTATGAGGCTAAGTCCATTTCATTAATAGACAGCCTCCTAATCTCTGTATTAAGTGAATAAATGAATCTATACTGATGAGATCTGTAAATTGGTTTTGAGTTTTTATAATTTTATTTTTATTTTCAAAATTATAAATTAAAAAAGAAGTTCTATTTCTGAAACAACCTCAAGGAGGTCTTAAAAATACACAAGAAAACATCATAATAAAACTCTCACCTGTCTGCAAAATTGATTTTAGATTTGTGTATATATTTTACATTAATGCCTTGTTATTAGAAGAGTAAATTGATTTGATGATAAATTCAATTCAGAAATTATAAATTTAGTTATCTTATAAATAACGTGTTATAATGCATATAAGTGCAGTCTGAATTTAAGTATATTGTTAATTAATATATTTTGAAATACATTATTTAATATTCTAATTACATAATAAGTAACAGATGCTTAACAAATTTACTTTACTACTAAATATATATTAAAATTTACTGAATATAACAAAATTTTAACTTAAAAATAATTGAAAATAAACAATTTGATAATAATTACAAACAATTTAAAATAAATGCATTTATTTTAAATTGTTTGTAATTTTTAAAATAAATAAAATATTCAGAATAAAAAAACAAAACAAAACAAAAAAAAAAGCCCAAAACTCCAGTGAAAAGTGAAAAAATATTTAATGAAAAACAAATGTTTTTGTTATTTTGCTGGAGTTTTTGGTTTTTTCATTTTTCTTCAACACTGATATCAAATTTCTGTGTTGTTTATAAATGCATTTTTTTAAATTCAAAGAAATTCAAAATAACAACAATAAATCAAAATCTTACCAATAACACCTCGGCCCCGACCACGAATGTTTAAACCAGAACCAGCTGTAGCAACAAATGGTGGTCCACGGAACCCAGGTAAAGGTGGTGGAGGAGCAGGACGTGGCAATATTGGTGGCGGTGGTCGAGCAAATTCCACCTGCAATCCATCCAGTATAGCAGTTCTCATTCTTTCTACTTTAGCTACTTGACTAATCTATTAAAATTTGAAGAATAAATAAATAAATAAAAACAGTTTGAAAATCAAAGTAATAAAAAATACATAAATTTTAAATTATGTAAAATCCACACAAAAACATCTAAGATGTAAAAAAATTACACCAAGTAAAAACTTGTGACAATTTAGATGACAGTCAAAATTTTTCTTTGCAGTTTTTCTTTGGTAAAGATAAACTTGATGCTTGTGGAAGCAGTATCCACAAGATTTTTGCCTTTATTATTATTTTCTACATGTGTCAAGCTTAGCTTTAAATGGCTATCATTTTTTACATGTGCATTGGTGAAAGTTCATGCAAGCCAAAAATAAATTCTGTTTGCAAAATTTTCAGTGTAAATGATTTTATATGGAAATTTAAAAGTGCCTTTATATTTACAGAATGCACTTTATATCTAAGTAATGAATGAATTCCTTTCTCTCTTGTTCGAAGATTAACAGTAAATGTGAGGTAGCAGAAGTTCCTATATTCAAACTAGTCTGTAATATTAATATTGTTCAAGTTACGTAACAATTGTTGTTTGTAGCTACCTGAGAGTCTCCCGTTACATTTTCTCAAAGGCAACACAACGCTTTCTCGTGATCTTTTAACCTCTGGACGGCCGATATCGTCTGTGAATATCGCCAGAGACGGCTGAAAAAAGTCAGTCATCATCCATCCCTCTGACAAAGGAAACCAGCACCGATTACTCCTGGAATCTCGTCGATCAGTGCCATTTGGGTACCTTGTGCCATCATTGTGCTAGTGGATATTATATTGGAACTAATCACCATCGGAACTATTATCAAACAACGAGAGCTCCATCAGGACATCACCTTTTATCGCCAGGTATTTATGCAACTCGCACTCGTTATGTGAACTCTCTCTCTCTCTGTGACAAAACTTAGAACCTCTGTATTCTTTCCAGTTTATTTTTGATTAAATCCTTGTTAATTGTTAATTGGAGTTTGAGCCTTTTCCATATGCTGTCTCTTGATCGGTTGACATTACAAATTCGTCTGTCCACTTACGGGACTGCTCATGCGACGTTGTGATGTAGTAATTGCTGTCTCGGCTTCCGTGCTCCGATAAACACAGTGGTGTCAATCCTGACAGGGCACCAAGGAGGTGCCAACCCTAAGATCACAGTAAACCAAAGTAATTATTATTCATGTCTGACTGGAATCCATCATAATTAGATATTCTATACCAAATGATTAAAATGTTAGCTATATAGTGTTTACAGTACAAAATGTTTTCTGATGATCTTGGGGATGATTACTACTACCAATTTCTCAAAGATACGCTAATAAAGAAACCTGAAACAGGCTACTCTACAGACATTCCAGTGCAGGCTCAAAGGAACCTGTATCTGAGGCAAAATCAACTTTTGCCACTTCTGCTTCCAAACCAATTGCCTGTAGAGAGTACTTCTAGTTCTATCATTCTTATACAAACTGTTTATAAATAACTTTAAAATACATTTATGGGACTTCATTTTATTTCTACTTATTACTATTATTCTTTATTCGATTTTCTTTTGAACATTTCTGACCATTCATTTTGCCATCCTTCTCATTTTACTCTTGAAACAGTGACCTCATCACATCAGCATCAAGCTAGCGCTGCACACATCTACAATTTAATTGTATTAAACAAAAACTGAATTAAAAAAAGGAATCTAACAAATGATGTCTGTTAATTCTAATATGTCTTTGCAATATTTGCTAGCATTAGGAGTATTTTTGGAAGAAAAACTCAAAGAGCACATAAAACAAAGTTCAAATTAAACTGATGAATACAAGCTAAATAAACCAAAATAAGTCTTCTTTATCACTAATCTATATATACATATATTAATCATATATAATCTATTATATATAATATTAATATTATGTATAATTAATTCTATAAATCAATTAATTTCTATCTACATTCAATTTGCTGATTTACACATAGTGCCATCTATTGACAAAAATTTAACAAAATAATAAACTGAATATAATTCTTAGAAAAAAGGATACAATTTTATATATATATATATTGTATTCACTTAATTATTGCAACAATGATAAAGTGCAAAATAGACAGGTAGCATATAGCACTTATATTAACTGCATGGAATTGAAAGTGTCACCCTGTAAAAAGTCTATAGTAAGTATATTAGTATTTAATTATCCACATCTAACAACTCGAGTTTTTTCATTTCTGAATGGTACTTTCTTAATTCTAATTAGCACCCTCCAATAGCAGAGTGCTGAAAACCACCAAACACTGGTAATTAGATAGTCATGAGTTTGAGCATTGCCAACAGATTGGCCACATGGAGTTTTCTGGATTTCTTCACATTAACAGTAACACCTAAACAGGGAAGACTTTTAATGGGAAACCATTTAAATTTTTTAATGGTTGTGTAGTGTGTGTGGTATGACACCTCTAGAGGAGAGAATGACAGGTATAATAAGCATCTATCCACCCTCCACAGATGCCTTATTATGAGGTCTGTTCAAAAAATAACCGATCTTTTTGAATTAAGCAAAAATGGAGTGTTCTAGTGTCGTGAAGTTGACAACACTATGTTTGTGATAACCTCCTGAGTAAGCTGCTTTTTTCGAATTGTTGATCTCTCATTTCATTCTCGCATTATTGTTTTTTGAGTGAAAGGTGTTTCATTGTTCATGGAAATTTTTGTAATATGCGATTTATGGGAGCAACAATGTAATGGGAAGTTTGTGGGAAAACTTTTAAAAAAACATTTCAATCTTTGAATCAAGCTTATGTTTCATAAGCTTGATTATGTTTATGTTTCAAAGCCTAATGTTTCAAGCTTATGTTTCAAAGTCTCATCTTTCAAACCTTTGCCAATTACGCCAAAAATAAATGGAGCCTCAACTCCAAAGCCATGGGGGCCATTTAAGACCACATCTTCATCCCCACCATCACCTACACATGTGGCACTTGCAGCATTCCCTATGTTACCATTTGTCTCTCCCTTATTATGTTTTTCCCTGCAACTTGTACATTCCTACCACCTCTGTCGGGTACTTCTTTGTTTACTGTATTCCACATCCACTGCCTTTTTTGTTTTAATATTATAACCATTTTGTTACACAACATCTATTATATATACCACCTCTGACGTGTACTTGTTTTATATATTGTGTTCCATATCCACTATTTTGTCTTTTATCTTATTGCTTAATTGTTACATGATCTCTAGTATGTAATTGAACTGTATCGAATGTCATGATGTGTTATGTTATGTACTGTAACTTTACTGTTGTACCTGTTTTCAAACTGGTTGTGCTTATACAGTACCGGGCTTGTACCATTGTACTGCAATAAAAAACTTAAACCTGAACCAAGCTTATGCAGTCAATGCTCTAGGTCGTACACAGTGTTATGAATGGTTTATCCAATTCAAAAGTAATCATCAATTAGTTGAAGATGACCCTTAACCAGAAAATCCTTTGACCTAAACTGATGACACTTGCATTCAAAAAATCAGAGTTATGCACTTTGAACTTTTGTCTCAAGGTCAAACAGTCAACTGTTGTTACTACGCAGGTGTTTTGAACAATTGCATGATAAAAATTCATAAAAAAAAATCAGTTGTGGGGAGACAACTCATGATTCCTTCACCATGATAATGCACCTGCTCACTCAGCCTTGTCAATTCACCAGTTTTGTGCCAAAAATCAAATGACTTTCCTCTCCAGCCTCCATACTCACCAGACCTGGCACCTTGTGATTTTTTCTTGTTTCCAAAATTAAACTCAGTGCTGAAAGGACACTGTTTTAACACAACTGATGACATTAAAACAAATTCATCACAAGCATTGGAGGACAGTCCAAACAAGCTTACCAGGACTGCTTTGCAAAGTGAAACACCACTGGGATTAGTGTATAAATAAGGGAGGTAAATACTATACTTTGAAGGAGACAAGGATCAATAATCTGTAACTTAAAGAATAAAAATTAGAAAAAGAAAATTCGATTATTTTTTAACAGACTTTGTATTATTATTATGTTGGGTTTTGTGAGTTATACTCGGTTCACACCGGTGGCTGTGTACTATGCCCAACCAGAGTCAAGGCATAGCAACCAAAACAAAACTAAAATTAAAGAAGTGTGTCAGTGTGTGTGTCTGTATTCAGGAATTTCCTAAAAATGTGACATGTATTCAATATAGTGGCCTTCTGTAGTGTGATTATGTATTTCTACTCAATTGTAATGTTCCCTGGCTTTTGTGTAGTGTGTGTGGTATCACACCTGTGCAGGAGAGAACAACAGGTACAATAAGCACCCTATCCATCCTCCACAGATGCTGTATTTCCTGGGCGAGTTCTGTGTACTTGCTAATTTTTTCAGTGCATGTGTTTTGTACATTGTGAGTGTTTGGAATGGCTATGTCTATAATGTATGAGATTTTATTGTTTGTCAATGAGTGTGATGTCTGGTCTGTTGTGGTAAATTGTTTTATCTGTAATTACGGTTCTGTCATAGTACAGTTTGTGTGTGTTGTTTTCCAATACTGTCTGTGGAATATACTTGTAGTATGGTTTGTGGATGTCTAATAATTTGTGTTTGCTTGCAAGCTCTTGGTGTATTATATTTGCTACTTGATTGTGTCTATGTAAGTAATCTGTCTGTGCCAAGAGCCTACAACCAGATGTAATGTGTTGTATAGTTTCTGGCATGATGTGACACTTTCTGCATGTGTCGTTTGTGATTGTTGTATCTTTGAGTATGTGTTTTCTGTAGTTTTTAGTATTTATGACCTGATCCTGTATGGCAATCATGAATCCTTCCGTCTCCCCACAGAGGCATCCCCGATCTAACCACCTGTTTGACGCAGTTTTGTCAACAAAATCCTGGGCCAGGTCATAAGGATGCCTGCCATGGAGTGCCTTTTGAGCCCACGATTGTTTGATGGTGTCTATGCTTTTTATGTGTTGTGTCATGTCTGTATGTTGTGAGTGTAAGTTTAATGGTGTGTTATTTCAGTCTGCTAGAGTTACTGCTTTATGTAATTGTGACGTTTCTTGTTTCCTGTAGAAAAACTCTCGCAGTGACTGTATTTGTTTGTAGTGAAGGTTAACTATGTCAATCAGGCCACGTCCGCCTTCTTTACGTGGAAGGGTTAATCTTTCTGTGGCGGATTTAGGATGATGTTGTTTATGCTTAGTAAGTGTTGTTCTTGTTTTCCTTTGGAGTTGCTCGAGATCTGTGTGAGTCCAATGTATAACTCCAAAAGAGTATGTGAGTACTGGGATGACATATGTGTTTATTGCTTTAACTGTGTGTTTTGCATTTAACTGTGTTCTAAGTATAGCGTTTAACCTACTTTGGTATTCTTTAATTAATCGTTGCTTTATTTGTGTATGTTCTGTTAGTTTGGCCTGTTGGAATCCTAAGTACTTGTAGAACTCGCCCTCTTCCATGGATTCAATAACGTCTCCATTTCCAAGTGCAAAATCTTCTTTCTTCAGGATTCCTTTTTCTATGTGAAGTTTTTTGCATTTGTCTAGGCCAAACTCCATTTGTATGTCCTTAGTGTATGAATGTGTGATTTGTAGGAGTTGATGAAGTTGTTTTTGTGTGGATGCATAAAGTTTTATGTCGTCCATGTACATGAGATGTGAGAGTGTAAACTGTGTTGTTTTTTCGTGTCTGATATTGTAGCCGTATTGCGTGTTGTTTAACATGTTGGATAATGGATTCAGGGCTAGGCAGAACCAGAGAGGACTCAAGGAATCTCCTTGAAAAATTCCTCGCCTAATGAATATTTCGTTTGTTTGTATGGAAGTGTTACTAACCCTGAGATGTAGTGTTGTTCTCCAGTGCTGCATAGTGTTTTCGAAGAATGCAATGAGTGATGGATGTATTTTGTACATGTGTAGAATATGTAGCAGCCAACTGTGTGGAACACTGTCGAATGCTTTTCTGTAGTCTATATATGCCATGTGTATGTTTCTGTGTTGTTTGTGTGCTTGCCGTAGAATGACTGAATCTATGAGTAACTGTTCTTTGCATCCCCTGTGATTTCTACGGCAACCTTTTTGTTGTTCTGTAAGAATGTCGTGTTCTTCAACATGTTTATATATTTTGTTTGTGATACAGGATGTCAATAATTTGTAGAGTGTTGGAAGACATGTAATTGGTCTGTATTGTGTGGGGTCTGTAGTGTTGTTGTTTTTAGGTTTCATGTATTATTATTATTATACGTCAAAAATTCATCTAGATCTACTATAAAATTATAAAATTAATAAATATTACCTGACCATCACAAACTTCAATTAGATTTTTTGCTCCATTTGCTTTAAGTAATTTATGGTGAAATAACTTTCCATCAAAGAAGAGCCAAGGACAACACATTAACCAAGGAATGGGCGCGCCACAGGCATCATTAGCAAAGAGTGCACATTCGACACCCTGCATGAACATTGCGGCAAGATGAATTCCTCTTGCAGTTATTAGAGGTAGCTAGAGCATAAAAATATAGAATTTTATTAAATATTTATCAAAATTATCATCATAAATATAGAAATATTCATTGTAAATTTATGAATTCATCTTTAGATTATTAACAAATTTTATACTAATGTTTCAGAAATCAGTTTTCTTACTTAAGTTATATAAAAAGTTTCAGTATTTAAATAAACCACTACCGCACACCGGAACAATATAAAAATAACTTATCTCCAAACCTATAACCGATGTGAAAGAATTTCAATCGCAAACGTTTTCGGACACCACTGTATCCTTCTTCAGGCAATGTTCTATTCGTAACACATCGTTACTGCCCGTTGTCTTTGGAACGCCTTTCAAAAATGTTCTTATTTCGAGTTCCGTTGGGCATCACGTGCTTTTTCAAACCGAAATCTCAGTATCCACGTAACGATCTTTTATTCGTACGATAGAATTACGTAATTTTCGAATAAATTTGTTTTAGCGTGTCATATTTCAATTTAATGGCATCACATATAACCAAGGCAGAGGTGTACCCATGGGTAGTGCAACCTCAGGAGATCTATGCGAGCTGGTTATCAGAAAATTAGAGGAAAGGGTAATTACGTGTTTCTACGACAACATCATTTTGTACAAACGTTACGTCAATGACGTCATTATACTGTGGAGAAACAACCCTGACATCAACCTGTTTATAGATCAAGTAAACGGCAACAGTTACGGTCTTACTATAGAGGTAGAGCAGCATAGTGACTCCACGGTCCATTTTCTGGATGTGAACATTAGAATAGAGGAGTCTCACCTAAGCACTTCGGTGTATCGGAAGCAACATGACTTCCCGAAGTATATTCCAGCTGACTCGTGCGACCCGTTCGGGTACAAAGTGGCAGCGTTTAGGGCGCTTGTCAAAAGGGCCTACACGCACTGCTCTACTCAGAGGGCATTAAATAAAGAGATGGAATATCTCAGAAAAGTAGCCGACATACACGGCTTCCATAACATAATACAGAGGTTGGCGACGCAATACAACAACGTAGGACCACCTTGTACTACCAATAGAGAGGATGGCATACAACAAGAACAACGCATCGTAACGGTTACTTACAACCCGATCTTGACTTCTGTTTATCATAAAATCGCGAAACTGCAAGGGATACGCATAGCATATAGAAGATGTCCATCTATTTTTCCTCTTATACGTAATGAGAAGGACAAGCCTAGTCGGGATAGGCTGCCAGGGGTGTATTCGGTGCCACTCACCGACCATAGATGTGACAAGGAGCTGGTATACATTGGGGCCACAAAAAGAGCAGTCGGAGTAAGGTGGAAGGAGCACCAAAAGGACATCGAGCACAATAGATGTAGCACGGCTTTATCGGTGTATGCATCGGACCCGGAGATATCGGCGGACTTCACGAGGGCCAAACTTCTCATCACGACGTCGTATGTAGACCAACTTAGGTGGCTAGAACAAATGGAGATATGCAGAGCATACGAGTCGGCAACCCCCATCAATTACAAGGATGAGATGACATTATCGTTGGCATGGCAAGCCTTATTACGGAAAGGAGACTCGGATTAATCGACATCGTTATTTAGAATGCGGAAGGAAGAAGGGCACGTGTTATCTCCCACTTCTGACACGCTAAAACAAATTTATTCGAAAATTACGTAATTCTATCGTACGAATAAAAGATCGTTACGTGGATACTGAGATTTCGGTTTGAAAAAGCACGTGATGCCCAACGGAACTCGAAATAAGAACATTTTTGAAAGGCGTTCCAAAGACAACGGGCAGTAACGATGTGTTACGAATAGAACATTGCCTGAAGAAGGATACAGTGGTGTCCGAAAACATTTGCGATTGAAATTCTTTCACATCGGTTATAGGTTTGGAGATAAGTTATTTTCAGTATTTAATTTTAAAATTTAACCAACAAGCCTGCTCAAAGATCCCTACCATAATTTGGAAAGTATAACTGCATGTCCCACACATCCTGTGAACTATGCTACCAACAGGGATACTCATATTGAACAGACAAGAAGGTAAGGAGCCAGATTAAGCAGGATCACTAGTCTTCCAGAATGGGAGTTGTGGTTGGGGCCAACACACCCACCATAACAAGGAAAGTTTGAAAACATTCCTTGTTAAAAGAAGGCAAGAGGAAAAAAAGGCAGATTTGGGAGTGGTAAGGCTACTGACATTGAGAGCTGTTCTCCACCAACCAGAATAGGCAATTGAAGGGGAAAAAAAAGTAAAAGTGTGAACATCAATTTGGTATATGGAATGTAAGAGAAAGAGATAAAATGAATAAATTAATAAGAAGGAAAACTGAAAATAAGCTGGATGTTCTTTGGATGAGTGAGACGAGAGAGAGAAAGACATATACTCCTTGCCTTTTCACTCTCACCTCACTCATGCAAATCTGGTCTGATGTGCAATAGACAGTGAGCAAATTTATTTTATTTTATTTTATTTTACACTAGCTGTGTTACCTGTTGTTGATGGGAGATATTTATTTGGTGAAATTATATTTACTTACCTAAAGAGTATATCTGCAGAGAACTGTATTACATATTCATTACATTCCTATTAAAGGTGTGGAATATTTTCTAGACAAACTTATTGAATAACTTCCTGATATACAATTTTTCGTGTTTTATCATCAGAAGTACAAATGAACAGATTTGCAGCTACTAACATGTGAGCATGCAACATAGAGTTGGCCATGTGTAAAGCAACCGCATTCCAGGTTAAGTCCCACAACTCTCAGGCTTTGGCCTTGAGACTTGTTAATGGTCATTGCAAAGCACAGACCAACTGGAAATTGTAAGCATTTACATTCAAATGAATAGTTTATCGGAATTAATGGTATGCTATTAATTGATATATCTGTCCTTCAATTTTGAATGCTGGCATGAAATTTCTTTCAAGTATTTCAGTGGCACAAAAACTTGTCATTTGGAAAGCCCTATTGTGATTTAAAAAATGTTTAGTGTCAGGACAAGTCCCATTTAATAGTGATAGAAAAAGTTTAGAGGCAAGTACAGCATCCAGTTAACTTTGCCAGAAGAGCAGCAAATCCCCTGTGATTCATTCTTCCACTTCAGAGCATGGCAACATACACATACTTTATCCATAGACCCGATATTAGCTGATAATAAATAGTATAAGAATGTCATAAATGAAAGCACTTCAGAGTTTTTTGCGTCATAGATTTGTCATTTTTGAGTAGGCATAATCTCACTCACACAAATAAATAAAACTCACGTAAATACAGCTAGGTCTAATGAATCACAAACACAATATGTAATGATTCAAAAACCTGCCAAATGTACACATACTGCCATCTAGCATAATGATGTCACTGTTTTAATGCCTCAAAGATTTTGCTAATTAACTAATTATAATTTAATGACAGTTCTTCAAATATAATAGTAAACTTCAATAACACACTTTTCTTATAGATAATGCCTTCACAGAAAGTACTGATTCATGTGTCGCCATCTAGTGAAGAGAGAGACAAATAGACAGACAGAAATCTGTTGCAGTTTTATTTAATTAATAAAAAATCAGTAGGTTTGATTAGTGGTAAACATTCCAGGGATCATAAAGATGCTACAGTGAAAATTTGGTTAACGATTGGTTCAGTAGTTTTCATGGTTAGTTAGAAAACTACTTTGAACCAAAAATACGTTGTCTCTTTTATTTAGATTGAATGTTGGAAATGCAGAAGTAGGTGTTTATTTAATGAACATACAAAGAATACATGAAAGAGTGTAAACAGGTGAATGAAATATTAATCCGAGTGTGCTTCAAAGTTAAAACGCAGGGAGTGATTGTTGTCATTGAGTTTGCACCACAAAATACTGCTGTGGATATTGAACAGAATGAGTTTTAGAAAAACTGTAAGGCATCTTAGATGAGTGTGACTCTCAGGAGCAAGTAATTCTAAGTAGTGATATGAATGGATGGGTGGGTACAAAGAGAGACATATCTGAGAAAGAGTGCTGAATCTGATGGTGATCTGTGGGTGAATCACAATGAAAAGCAATTGGTTGCACTGTATGTGAAAATAGACCTATGCATGTCCAATATCTTTTTTCCACACAAGACCATTCATCAGTACAAGGGAAAATCATACATAAGGTCAGAGAAGCATAATACATTTTGTTGTGAATGATGATAGATTGAAAGGTGCAATGGAGAATACAAGAATTATGAGAGAAGCTGACCGTGACTCAGTCCATTACTTAGACGTATTGACGGTGCAATCGAAGATTGAGTAGCAGAACAAAATAAATAAAAGAATAGCAAGTGAAAACAGAGTGCAGCTCAAGCATTTGATGAATAGAAAAAATGAGTATAGATATTATGTCAAATTGAAACTGGAGAAAGTAAGCAAGAACGTGAGTGATCTGGAGGAAGTTCCAAAGCATTTCCAATCTTATCTTGTATGGTAGAAGCAGCAAAAGAGATATGTGGTGTAACAGAGATGAGCTGTGGGAAAGGGACTGCAAGGTGGAACAAGTTTGAGTACATAGTGAAAAAAAAAAAGGCTGCATACATGAACTGACTGAATGAAGTGTGAGTGAAAACAAGTACACAGTGAAAAAGCAAAAGACCGCACAAGTAATTAAGAATACCAGGGACAGAGTGAATAAAAAATGAATCAAGTGTATGCAAGGGGCATTTGAGTAAAATAAAAAAAAACTCTTTTGAAGCAAATAAAAAATATACTTTGAAATGTAAAAAAAGTGTACATTGTGTATGAAGTACAAATGATGAGCTAGTGTGGGATGAATGTAAGGTGTTTACCAGGTGGCATGAATATTTTGGGAGCCTGTTGAGAAGCAGTAGAGGTAACCCAAATGAAGGAACAGTTGCAGAGATAAATGAAGATTGCAATGGATGTGGTTTTATTCTTTTCAGTGATGTTAAAATGAAATAAGAAAAATGCAAAATGATAAATCTCTTAGTCTGAATAATGTGACTGCAGAAATGTTACAATGTG